TTCTACCTAGGTCATGTGTCGTATTCGAACTGATAGAAACATCTTTGCAATACGATTTGAAACGGCTTTGCATAAACATGTGCCCAATAATCGTATTGCAAAGGCGTTTCTATCAGTTAAAATAACACACATCATGAACCATTGACCTTGGTAAAATCAAAGCATAGCGAGGGCTCCTGGGCTTTCAAGCCTCTCGTTATTTCATGCACAAAGTGCAATCTTTCTCGCAGTTTTTTCTCGCCGTGCGAGCACAACCGGGTTACCTTACCGCTGTTCCAAGAGCGCAAGACTCCAGCTGGGTGCTTGATTCACCCAACGAGGCTACCGTCACCCGGACAGATTGCCGAACTGCCGTCGCTAACACAGCTTTGCGAACCTTGCAGACTTCGCCTACTTTCCAGCAACCCCAGGAGCGTGGGTATCAAAGCGGCATCATGATGATGACAGCCGCAAGGACCAAAAGCCAATACAATTAATACAAGGGAAAAAAACTATTTCCACTTCTCTCTGGCCTAGCGACCGGTCGTGCCTTGGGGAAATTTTTTGGACGGCGGTTGAACTGTCCCTTTGCCTTGGCTTTATTTCCTTTGCTTTGACGGTAAGTAGTCTACTAGTACATGACAGAGTACAGTATACAATGGTATACCGGTACTACAATGTAGATCTACACTGTAGTGTAGTACTAGTAGCGCGACACTATCGTACAACTAGTAATACTTACTATGGCATCTCATAAGTAATTTAGTTCGCATTTTTTTTCTAAAACGTAACGCATTTCGAAACGGGGGTAAATGACAGTTCGCACATTTCCTGGATGTGTAGATCTACGTACTCACTGTGCATGCAGTGCATGTGCTAGATCGCTTCAGCAAATGAGCGTGTTTTAAACTGTTTAGGTGTAAATCTATGTGCCTGTGTTTGGAGATCAGCCTTGCATTGCATGCATGCAGGCTACTCAAAGGTGTCAAGTGTCACATCACTCAGCAGCATCAAACAGTTACACGTACACACTCACTTCACCTTCGCTAATCATGGTGAACCATGGTGATCCAAGCAGGCACAGTGGGTTGGTCAAAGACCATGATTGAGATACGAGAGGTACCTGGTTCAAGTCCTGCCTGGGAGCGGTTTTTCCAGCCGTGCTGCTACCCACAGTCAACTGGGAACTTGTGGCCAGGCACAAGGGGTACATGGATGCAGCTAATGGGGTCGTTTTCGGCACTTGTGCCAGTGGTTGTGAGACTTGCCCACTCACCCCCACCGTTAGGCGCTGCATCTGCCGCTAGGGTTTATCGGGTGTTAGCGGCCGTCGTGAGTTCCCTTCGGGAACGGATACGATAAAGAATCATGGTGAACCCGTCCCGGGCCATACCATCAAGAGGTACAGGTTCCTGCACGAGTACAAGGGCAGTACCGCGGAATCCAGCCCGCGCCGCGATAGCGGCAAGGGCTGGATGAACAGCGGTACTGACCGAGTATGAGTGACTGGAACGTGTTTCCCGTATGCACCCAAGCCAATTCCAAGGTCGCAAGGAGATCACTCAGTGACACTCACAATCTTTGAGTTTACAAGAACCATTCTGTGACTCGAGTCCTGTATACTGTATGACTCTATGAGGCTGTGAGCTGAGTGAGAGTGACTTCGACAACCGTAGACCCGGGTGCTCGAATGAGATACAGGGTACCAAAACAGAAACAGCCTGAAATTGTACCTAAACTTATTCCGATTTCGTTTAGTTTTCACAAATACCATCAACATACGGCCCGCTAACGGTATGCCAAATTTCAGCGCTGCCCGGTAAACGGTTTTTGAAATACTCGCGACCCACTTTTTGCTGGGTCCTTGATTCGAGGATGTGGGTCTCCTGTACGGTGCTGCCAACGACCTGCCGAATCTGCGGCGGCACTGACCATCTTGCTCTCAAAAACGAAGTAGTTAGTCACTACTCCCTGCCCTCAACTGCCACACCAAGCGTAGACGATGGTAGACCCGTGTGCTTGAATCGGAGACGATCTGACGAGTTTGCTGTTTCTGATTCGAGCACCCAATTTTCAAATAAAAAATCCGAAGGAAATACGACCATTTTACTGCGTACTGTAGCTTGTATTGTAGCGCCCCCAGGTTCTGAATTCCTGCTGGGTGGGTCAAGCCAGACTCCCTTTCCTGTTCCATCGCCTCTCCAAAAGTATATTCTGACAATTGTTGAGATTTACAGATGAGAAATTTCACACCTGTCAAATCGTTTCTGATTCGAGCACCCGGGTCTACACGGACTACAGACTCAGTACATGACTTTTGCATGTACTTTCAGACCACAGAAGCTTGTCATTGGAATGGTAGACTCATGAGTGGATTCTGTTACTGCCCGTCGTCACTACATGTAGTCATGTACGCGGAGTTTTGCGGACTACCCGTCACTACTAGTATCTCGTCCACCCCGGGATACCTGATAAAGACGGATTCACTCGCATATTCTGCTACAGTACTGTATCAGTGTGAGAAAGAGCTTTGAAGAAGTCGAGCCTGAACACACAGTAGAGAGGTTTTGCAGAGCGAACGTTCGCGCGAATTTTCGTTTGACGTCACGAAAAGCGAAACTTCGTGCGAACGTTCGCAGTTTTGAACGCGAAAGTTGCAGGAAACGCGAAACAAACTTTCGCAGTAATTAAATATTTTCGCTCTTTGTGGACCGCTGGTCAGCCTGGTGCACGGTGATCTTCATGTTTGTGCTTTATCTCTACTCTTCAAAGTCTCTTGGCTTGGTCCGCGAGTGCTAGCTTTCCTATACTTGTGGCAACCCGTGTTGCTTCATCTCCAGAACCATCTCCGATCTCCTGCTTGCTCGTCTTCTCACTGCTCAGAGTCGGTTACATCAATGATGCCTTTTGAATCTCACGTGTTGATGCACAAGATTACGACACAAGCCAACCCGACCCGTTTGTCTGTGGGTCTCTGGCCATGGACAACGTAGTCAAAGAGCTCTCGTCTCAGGCCGTGACTCACGGTACCTGGTGCGCGTGCCGCCACTCGCAACAAACAAATAATCGGATGGAGACGACTTCTCAAAAACAAGCGAGTACTTTCTTGGAGCGAGATATATACGTGCAAACTTTCGCAGTAATTTTCGTCTTTGTGGACTGTTCGTGCACGGTGAGCCACCCTCAGTCCTCATGTTTGTGCTTGATCTCTACTCTTGGCTTGGTCCGCGGGTGCTAGCTAGGCTATACTTGTGGCGGTCCGTGTTGCTTCATCTCCGGGACCATCTCCTGCCTGCTCGTCTTCTCACTGCTCAGAGTCGGTTACACCAACGATGCATCGATGCCTCTTTGAATTTCAGGTGTTGATGCGCCAGATTACGGCACAAGCCAACCCGTTTGTGACTGTGGGTGTCCGGCCATGGACAAGGTAGTCAAGGAGCTCTCGTCTCAGGACGTAACTCTAGGTGCCACCACTCGCAACAACAAAAATAATCGGATGAAGACCACTCACTGTCACTGTACTTCTCAAACAAGCGAGTGCACGCGAAAATTTCTTGGAGCGAAAAACATGCAAAACACAAATTTCGCACGAACGTTCGCAATAGTTTTCGCAACCCGGAACGCGAAAATCATTGCGAACGTTCGCTCTGCAAAACCTCTCTAATACTGTATTGCCAAGATTTCTACCCTGTTTTCATTGAAAACACTATCTGCTTGACCTCGGAACCCTTTACCATGCAGACCACCAGCACGGATCAGGTCACTGTACACAATTGTGTAGCCTACATACTAGAACGGTGGTACAATCAAGTAGTTATTCTCCTACATGTACATCCGAAAGGATGCCAAATTATGCTCCAAATTTTCAACCACCAAATTATGCCAATAATTATGCCGGCATAATCCGCCGGTGCCTAGTCGTCAAGTGACGACGGGCAGTACAGTGGATTCTGTCCACTGCCCGTCGTCAAGTGACGACGGGCAGTGGATTCCGTCCACTGCCCGTCGTCACTTGACGACGGGCAGTGGAACTACAGTCCATTCATTGGAAACTGGCACCCTAACTTTTTGGTGTCTCTCTCACATAGTTGTAGATATCGTGAAAACAACAGTACATCCTGCATTGTGTGACCCGTGCAATTACTCCTTGCCACATTTGAGGCCAGAAAAGTCCAAGAAGAGGGAAATAGAAATTCAGCCAGGTTTTACAAAATTAGGACAGGTATGCCATGGCAAAATGCATGGAGAAGCAGATCCAAAACCCAGATTTTTGAGATTTAAAGTGGGTTTTTGATCCTCAATTCGGCCCAAATCCGACTTTCAAAAGCCAGCGGGCCAGTTTCCGATGAATGGACTGTAGTTCCATCAGCAGGCAGGATCGCGCTGTCCAGCCCGCGTAATTTGATCTGTCATTGGTCGACTCCAAGGCGACAGTCATGTGACATACGGGAATACAATAATAATCTGTGAAAAGAATTCGGGTGGACACACCCATTCCTAGGGTTCCCAGTAAAAAGGCAACGCCTGTTGGGACTCCCCTAGTAAAATAATAAAATCTACTACTACTACTACTACTCCCATAGCGCTGTACATCACATCCGAACCAGTTCCGTTACTACGGAGCATCAGCAAATCGAATTTTCGAGTGAAAATCGAAAATTGTCACGAAAAGCACTCAATCAGTCGAAACTAGGGCTTTGTTCGACTGAAAAATGCCCGCAAACAGAAAATACTTTTCGAATACTTTTCGAATGCTCCGCGCGTGCTCTAGTACACGGCGCACTACGAGTACTCATACTTGCGCATGTAGCTACTAGTTCTTACTACTAAAGTATAGTAGTAGTTGCAAGTGCACAAGGTCAAGGCAAGGTCAAGGCAAGGTCAAGGCAAGGTCAAGGCAAGGTCAAGGCAAGGTCAAGGCAAGGTCAAGGCAACTTCTTGACGCTTTCCTCTCTCTCTCGAACTGTGAAGAGTTTTTTGGTTTTTGTTTGATAAACTTTCATTCCAAGTATCCCGGAATAATGGCTTTGTCGCCGACTACCAGCCCCGGTATGCCTCCTGCTCCCAGTAGCCCTGCTGCCGTTGCCTCGCCATCTACGTCTGTGGCGAGTTCCCCGCAGGGAGAGGGCAAGTCCGCCAAATATTTGAGGTTCGACCTCACATTGGACCTCATTCTGCTGAGGCAGTGTAGGGCCCACCCTCAGCTATTCGTCCGCGGGTCTCCCGACATGCAAGGCATAGCGGAGGAGCTCGGCCGAGATCCGCCTTTTCAAGGGGTCTCGAAGAAGGCGGTTCGAGATAGGGTGATGAAGCTCGTGGAGCAGTACAAGAGTCAAGAAAATTGGCAACGACGCCAGTAAATAATAATAGCGCATGTCTTGCTCCCGAGTACGAGGATGTTATAAAGTGGCCTGTTCTACATTTTGTATGCGGATATATGTAATTGAAGTGTAATAGAGACTAAGAGTGGGACAGAACATGAGCTAGTTCCATGCCATTTCACAATCGTGTATGTCTCAAATAGATTGTTGAAAAATGTTTTACCTCTCAACCTATGTCTGTATGTATGTGCTGTGAAACTCTTCTGTGTTCGTGTATCCCTGTAGAAGTGGCACTAATGAAGCGTTCGCTGAAAAGCAACAGCTCCTCACTGAGCTCTCTGC